AAACCGCCCAGAGTCCCTCCTTGTGGGGGAGTTGGGTGGTGATATAAATTTGACATACAAATAAATAAATAAATAAATAAATAAGTAAATAATAAGCTACAAGTAGGAGAATGGGTCAGATTGTGTCAGTCCTATATAATGGCACTGAAATATGTATTTTTCTGTAGGAAAAGAAGATGTAACAGTGATTCAGACTGCTTAAAAGTACTGGTTGGGGAAGTTAAAACAACCTGAGGAAATTCCCTGTGCCAATTTCTACAGTGGTGGTACTGATCAACATGAACAAGTAGCTGTTCCCTTCCCGAATGCCAGAATGCACATGCATTCCAGTAAAATAGCCTTGCAAATCACATTATTGTAACCCAACTTCCATGGCCAAGAGAACTAGGTTGGAGAAGACTGTTAAAGGATGTCACAACTTCTCAATTCCATCTAGTGAAATGTGGAAATAGTTACCATACTGTGTATTTTACTTCAGATTCTTTGAGCCTTCCCAAACTCTGCCTACATATCTCAACTATTATATACATCTTTGGGGTTATTTCCCCCAGTGCATTCACATAAAATGTAAGACTAATTTTAAGATAATTGAGTTAATCTAGCACAAACTGACATTTACTTACTGGTTGTGAACTGAAACAAGAAGCGGGATGCCCCAAATGCTCAAGGGACCACTACCTATAACAATGGTGCAGAATATGCAACTCTCACGATATTGCTGAACCACAACTCCCAGTACCCTCAGCTGCTTTGGCCAATAGTGAAGGATGCTGGGAGATAGTTCAGCAGCATCTGGAGAGGCCCACGTTGTGAACGTATGACCTGTAAGACTTCTATACTGGTTTTCCACCCAGCATTTGAGAATATGAAAAATACTTAGTTACCAATCTTAAGATTAATATTTTTAAAAAGTATTTCCAATTAACCTTAATTTTAAAGCAGGAATGCACCACCTTCCTGGGCTGGAATCCATATTCAGCCTTCAGATGGCCTGCTGGAAGTTGCTTTTCACAAAGTTAACAGGAGGGCTCAGACAAAAGTTAAATTTGATTCCATTCCATTTACATTTATACTGAATTAGGACTAAATATAAGGACTATTCTCCAATCCTGTGTTACTAATTTCTCCCTCCTGGTCTTAAAACTTACAATTTGGTAATACTTAGGAGTCCTTGGAAGCACCCTCAAGCCTTTTGGGGGCTTTGCATGCAAAAGTTTGGACCTTTGTTTTAAAGGCATCATTTTCTACAAAATCTCTTATTGGAGAATCTTTTGCTCCCTCTAAATAGGGAACTGGATAAGACAGTCAGACAAAAGAGCTCTAAAACTCAATTTCTTTTAAAAACATACCATATAGCGAGACTCCCATCCCACAAAATCTCAACCGTAAATGAACTGTTGGATGCACCCACCTTTGAGATCACCGTTCCCATCTTTGTCAGTGTCCTTAAATGACCGAGGATAGATCTGATAAATGGAGTTGGCTTGCCACCAACCAAGGCATTTGGGGGACATGGCAATAATCGTCACCGTAGCTGCCACAAGCGCCAACGAAGCTACAATGATCAACCAAAAGAGTATTTCTCTGGTAATCCTGTAACGTGCCTTGGTGGAGAACTGCAGGAGCACCTCTTTGGGCATTCCTGCATAAGGCTGCTGAGTTAATCCTTCCCATGCTTCTGCTTCCATGGTGAGGGCACCAACCTTTGGTAACCCTTCCTGAGCTGCTTCCTTGCAATCTAGCTCCTCACCCTGAAGAAACCCATTGTTCTCCAGGCCTTCTTTCTCCTTCAGCTCAAGGGAGATTACTGTATTTTCTTCACCCATTCCTTTTGTTCAGTTCTGTCGCTTCCTGCTCAGAAGTCTCATGCAGCTGAGAAAAAGTGGTTGAATACCTTCAGTCAGTGAAATAAATTCTCTGGGTGTCATTCATCCCTGGTTTATAAATAAACCTGACCAACCAGTCCAAAGTCTGACTAAGATTAAGAGCATCAAGTACTCTAACTCCTTTGAACAAAAGTATTTTCTTTATAGCCTGGTAAAATGTTGCAAGAGGACAAATATCCAAATGGACTTCGAAAGAACAAAATGCAGGGCTTCTGAAGTGGTGGTGGTGTTTTCCAGGCAGTGGAACTTTGCCCTTAACCCTTTGATGTTGGGAAGATGTTCCATAGGCAAGCTTTCTGACCATTGCAGTAGCATCCTGCTAATCCATTGAAATTGCAACTTAACTTAAAAAGCTAACTTATTTTTAACTACTAGATAAATTTATAAGGCTGCCCTACTCACAACTCTGGGTGGTGAATACAAGAAGCTTAGGAACTGTAGTTACTTACATTAAAAATAGAGTAAATGCCTAAAAGGAAAGAGAAAGGGTTTGGCACAAAGTCAAAGCTGATTGACTTCATTGAAGCTAATGAGGATTTTAAAAAATGAATAATTTTTATTAATTCAGTTTCAAACAAATATACATAAAATGGGGGGAAGGGGGGAAGACCCATTATACAACAATTAAACACACAAAGAAAAGAACAAAGAATCTGTAATTACAACTACATCCCAAGTTCACCTGATTTTATAAATCTTTAAAAGGGAAAACTAAACTTTCAATGTTCACCAAGCCTATACAAGATTTTTTTCCAAAGGGAAAGATAATGTGTAAAAGCAGATAAAGAACAAGATGGCAAATCTGACCAAGGGGCTCCAGCCACCCTAGCCCAAGGCTTGCGAGAATGGAATCAGGGCAAGAGTCACCCAGATCTCACAAAGAACTTCATTCCAGAGGACAGGCACACCTCCTGGGTCCCCAAAGATGACACTGTTCAGTTGAAGGGACCCAAAATGTACCAACCCTATCAGCTCATATTGACCAGGCAGATGCCGAGGGAGAGAGATGGTCCTTCAAATAACTTGGCCCTATGCCATGTGGGGCTTTATAGGTCATAACCAGCACCTTGAATCTTATTTGGAAGCAGACCAGTAATGGTAACCAGTGCAGTTCATGCAGCAGAAGTGTCACAAGGACATGAAAAGGCATACTCAAAACTGCCGACATGCTGCATTCTGGACCAGTTGAAGCCTCCAAGTGGTGTTCAAGGGCAGCCCCATGTACAGCATATTACAATAGTCAAGCTGTGAGGTGACTAGGGCATAAGTGACTGTTTGAGGGGCCTCCCAATCCAGGAAAGGGAGCGATTGGTATACTAGATGAAACTGTGCAAAAGCCTTCTTGGCCATAGTTGCTACCTACTCATTGAGCAGGAACTGTAAATCCAAGACCCCCAAATTGAGCACCTGTCTTGAGTGGAGAAGTGCAACCCCACCCAAGGTCAAAGTTGGAACTTCCCTGGATCTAGGAGACCCCAGCAACCACAGCATAATATGAGCTCTTGCCCATGTTCAGTCACACTCCATCTGAGTCTTCTTCATACAGTGCTCCAGATGTCTCTTTTGGCACTTCATGTCTTGGAGCTCTTCAGTAAACCAAGGTGCACAGGGAGAGGGCCACATAGGAGCAATGCAATCCAAGGTCTTGACCACCTGCCCATTCCAGGCAGCTACTAGGGTCTCAGCTGGACTGCCCACAAGATCCTTGGGGAAAACCCCAAGCTCCCTCTGGAACCCCACCAGTTCAATCAGTTGCCTGTGCGGGCCAAAACTCCACAGGGGAGAGTAATACCAGTGAGTTGAAAGGCAATCAGAGAATGATCTGTCCATGGCAATGGACTGATATAATGTCCTCCACTACCAGATCACTTTGCAACTGTCCCAAAACAAAAACCAGATCTGATTGTCATTGTTACGGACTAGATCTTTGGACAGATGAAATAAAAATTGAATTTTTCGGATACAACTACATAAGATACTGCTAGAAAAATGGGTGAAATACTTGAGAAAATAACACCTTGCCAGCTGTTAAGCACGGTGTAGCTCTATTATACTTCGGGGTTGTGCAGGAAAGATTGTGCAGGTCAAAGGGAGTAACAGAACTTATCCCAGAAGTGAATGTTCCACAAACAGTGAAAAAACTGAAGCTAAAAAGAGATAGGATATTTAAACATGAAAAATACCCAAAGTATACCACCAAATCAATAGTGAACTAAGAGGGAAAAAAGATAATGCTTTTCAAATGGCTTTCCCAATCACTAGATTTGATTATAGATAGTCCTTGCTTAACAACCACAATTGGGACCAGCAATTCTGTCACTAAGCAATCCGGTCATTAAGTGACCGCAACTTGGAATTTTACTGCCAATGTCTCAACTGACCCTGCTTGTCAGAAGCTGGCTGTGAAGTGTGCAAATGGAAATCATGTGACTGTGGGACACTACAACGGTCGTAAATGACTGCTAGTTGCAAAGTGCCCAAATCTCGATCATATGATCGTGGGGACACTGCAACGGTCTTAAGTGTGAGGACTGGTTGTAAAATTACTTTTTCAGCACCGTCATTACTTTGAATGGTCAGTAAATAGGTCAGTCGTTAAACAAGGACTGCCTATATTGAATATCTGTGTGGAACTCTCCAACATGTAGCATGTGCAAGAAGATCTAAGAATATTTCTGAACTACAAGAGTTCTTCAAGGAAGAGTGGGGGGAAATTGAAAAGTAAGTATAGAAATACTCTTAGTTGGTTACAGAAAACATTTGGAAGCTATTATTTCTGCCTAAGGGGGTATTGCAAAGTATTGTTGAAAAGGTTTTCAACCTTTCACACCTCCCATATTCACTGTTTTCTTATTTTTAATCTGTAAACAACTGCACATAAATAGTATGCATTCAAATTTGCAGAAGGATGTGCTTAATTTTTGTACTATGTAGAGGTTGTCTCAGCTTTTGTTCATTCAGGAATTCATTGAAACATACAATTTGAGCAGGGGTGCCTAAACTTTTGCATACAAGCAACCTAATATTAATTTGTTTTTAAAGCTATTTTTAATAGTTTGGCAAAATTGACAAATCTCATGAGAATGCAACTTTCTTGCATGAGATCTTGTATGAGAATGGGGAAGTCTCAAAATTTAATGATTTTGCAAGATTTGGAGCATTTTTTACTTTTGAAAAATGGAGAGGGAATGATCAGGCCCCATTATGCAAGAACATGTCATTCATGAAGCTCATTTCTGGCATGATGGGGATTGGATCATGGTAGAAAAGTCCCCTAGCATGAGTCATGTATACTTTCCAGTAATGTAGAAAATGTGAATTCAAAATCAAAACAAAAACCTCTTTTTTATGAGACTGTAAGTACGATATGAGGGAGCTCTGTTACAAGTTACAAGGCCCTAAAACCTAAGCTGAGCCCTGGCTACAGGTCTGAATTTCTTTTCCGAGGATTGCAAATTACCCAAGAATTCTCTTTTCCCACACCTGCACAACTTGTGTCCCACCAAGAGGCCAAATGTGGGCCTCCCACTTGTTAATATATAAAACACGTTAAACTTTTCATCTTTGTAGCCCAGTCTAGGAGGCAAGACATGAGCCATAACTACTGGGCTGTGTTTCCTTCACCCATCATAATAAAGTCATAAACCATATCACTGTAATGGTGCACATTGACCTTTTGTTGCTTTACTCACAAACTCTTCTATCTGGGCCAGAGATTTGAGTTTATTTGTATATTACTTGCTTTGGTTACTCTGCAGTATGTCTGCTATGCTGACAGTGTTGGATACATAACAGCAACTAATTCCATAGTGGCTACTTGTTTTATATACACCAAAAAATGGATCCACTATATACAAGATTTGTCTTTATCTTTTTCCCCTTCAAGTTGTCTCTCTCTATGAAATGATATCTCCTTCCAGGAGCTTTTCCACTAGCACCATTAACCGTTAGTCTGATATGCGGAGTTCATACTGGGATCTGGATTTGGTTGAGTGGCTCACTCCTCAGTTTATCTCTCAAGATGTAAGTTTGCAAGAAACATTACTACAAAATCACAAATAGAGACAACAGTATTTTATGTTGTTTTTGGTCAGTGTGTGTGTGTGTGTGTGTGTGTGCGTGCATTGTTTAGGATTTTCTGAATCTTTCTTTGTTTATTAATCGCATTTATAACTGGTCAAATCAACTAAGGACTCCTGGCAATTTATGATAATAAAAAACACTATCCATAAGAACAAACATAAAAAATTAAAATATCCACAGTAAAAGTAAGATGATATTTAAAATAAACTAATCCAGCTGTAACACAGCCATCAATCCCCGACATAATTCAAACAAGAATATTAACATCAATAAATAAAAATCCAAAGTAAAACAACTGTGACAATTATATATTCAATACACTTTGGAAAAGGTCCATCTCTAACATTTTCTGGAACGCCATTACTGAAGGAGCAGGTCCAGTTTCTGGGTAGAGATCATTCCACAGAGCTGGGACCAAAAGGGAAAAACTGTATCTCTTGGTTTCAGTTCCCTTCAGTTCACAGAAGTCAAGAATAGTCAATAGCTTTTCTGGGAGGAGTAAATGAAACAGATTTTAGCTTCCAACCAGTTGGTCCATAAGATCTCCTACTTTACAGAAGATAGCCATATTTTTGAAGATATCCATAATATAAAAAGAACTGTTAAAGAAGAAAAACAGGCCCTTGATTTCACTCTTTTTTTTTTTTGCAGCTTCACCATAATTCTCCCCTCATCCCTTAGAAGTTACGTGCCAGGAACAACAGTACAAAAGGCTCTCATGTTCAACATCCAATAGTTTTCTTGGATTTATCTGTTCAAGGAGCCTGGACTAGGCAGGTCTTTGACCTGATGCAGCAAAGGCATGCATTAATTAATTAATTCTTCACCTGACCCGACTTCCATAAAACAGGGTTCAAGAGCCACCGGTTTGGACATTTGTGGCAAGGATTATAGCTCAGTTTTACAGCACATTGTTTGCATGCAGGAGGAGCTATCTGGTATCTACAGCTGGAAAGATCATAGTAGTAGGAGTTGAACAAGAGCCTTGCCTGACATTCCAGACAGCTGCTGCCAAATAGGCAGTGTTTATGTTTGCACATTTGCCCATGGCTAACTTACCCATGGTTTATTTAATCCAGTTTCTTAGAATCACACTGACTCCCTGAACCATAAACTAACCAAACAGGTTGACAAGCTAAAATATGGTTGACTGGTTTATTGTGATGGAATGGAATTACGAAGGCCAAACTCAGGGAGGGAAACATGCTCTTTCGTCTCCTGAGGCGCGAGGAAGAGATAAGAGGATGAGGCTGGCACCTCCCTGAGGA